AATGCCGCCTGTACCCCGACAACTCCCAGGTGCGGTGTGCAGCCTGGGCCTCATCCCCGAATCCAGGCTGGCAGACCTGACCGCATACCTGGCACACCCACCCGATGCCCATGGGAGCCTCAAACGGAGCATGCGCCGAGGAAGCTCCGGACCCTTCTCTCCCGACCCACCTCCCCAACTCTCCTCTAGTCCACATTTCAGTGAACTTCGGTTTTCCAGGATTCGGTCCAAAAATCTTGGAGTCACCCTTGACTTCACTCACATGCCTCATCTCACATCTAATCCAAGAGCAAACCCAGTCAGCTGTGCCTTCAGACAGTCACAGAATCTGTCCCCTGCCAGTCTGTGCTACCCTGATCACCTTGCCCAGTGCGACCGCCCCTGAGCAGAGTGAATCCTGCGTCCCCCAGCTCTGCTTCAGGATGCCAGCAGCCAGGGAGATTTTACTAAAGCGTAAATCAGGTCCCGTGTCTCCTCCGGTGACTCCAAAACTCTTCCAAAGGCTCCCAAACCACATGAGTAATAGTCAAATTCCTGGAAACAGCCAACCAGGCCACCCTCTCCCTCCACCTCCCATCTCATCGGGACAACTGCCCCCTGGACCTCTCTGCTCCAGCCCAGCAAGCTGTGGCCACAGAACCTCCCCACCCGGACTCCCCGCCCCAAACATCTTTACCCCGCTGTTTTCCTGATTCAGCTTATTGATGGTCTGTCTCCTCCCACTAGAATTAGAGTTTGTTCACTACTGTGGCGCCGATGGTCAAAACACGGCCAGGCGCACAGTGTGTGCTCAGTAAATATTCACTGAATAAAAGGGAAAACGTTTACTAGTTTTCAGTCCTGCTTTGTCAATTCTCCTAAAAGTGAACTTTCTTAGTCGAGCCACGGAGATTTGGAAGGAAAGTGTGGTACCTGAAGTCATGTCACCGTTTCCCTTTGCTCCCGACATATGACTAGCCCTTTGGACCCTGAATAACCGGAGCAGAGAGCTGCCACGCCCCATTTTCCCAGACTTGCCGCCGCTGCTGCTGCCACCACAACCACCACCATCACCATTACCATCACGCGACATTATCTCGGCTTCCAGACTCACAGCTGATCCTACACTGGGTTTTGCCTGTAGGTTTTCAAACCCAACCGACCTGGACACCAACCAGCTCTAGAAAGACCAGGCTATGGAAGATCAAGAACAACCTGTAGCACAGAGGAAGACCGTGTTGATGCTGGGAAAGCGCACCCAAGGCCCCAAGAAGCTGCTCTGTCCTCAGCAGAACGCAGCTCAGGCAAATTCTCATTAAAAGGTGCTGCCAAGAGGTGCCTATTGGGTTGGGCTGCCATAGGTCTGGTCTTTAAATCTTCGTGTTTGGTTTTTCTTTCTTTTTTTTTTACAAAATAACACACACTTGTAAAAAAAAAATCCAGAATATCACAGATGCAAACTAAAAAGTGAAAGCTTTTTCCTATTCCACCGAAATCCCAGTTCCCTAGAGAAAACAACTATTTCAGTCTAAAGCCTTCCACACTTTTTTCTGTGAATGTATAAATAAATAGTTTTTATTTTACAAAAATGGAGCCACACAATGCAGATTCTTCTCCAAATTCCTTTTTTCCACTTACGCTACACAGACACCTTTCGGTGTTAGTACTTTAGAGTATGACGACGATAAACATGCTTATGTGCCTTCCTTTCATTTTCTTTTTAAAGATTTTACTTATTTACTTTTAGAGCGAGGGGAAGAGAGAAAAAGGGAGAGAAACATCAATGTGTGAGAGAAACATTAATCAGCTGCTCCTCGCAGGCCTGCAAACCAGGCAAGCGCCCTGACCGGGGATCGAACCGGGGATCCTTTACTTTGAGGGACGCTGCCCAACCCACTGAGCCACCCCCCAGTCAGGGCTGGGGGCCTCCTTGATCTCCTCTCTAAAGCGGCAGCTCTCACTTCATCGCAAGGTCTCTCCGACTCTGTGGAAAATTACTGAGGACCCCCAACAGCTTTTGTTCTTGTGGGTTACCTCATCGTTATTTACCATATTAGAAACTTAAACTGAAGAATTTTAACTATTTAATTATTCATTTAAAAAATTTTCACCCTAGCCAGTGTGGCTCAGTTGGCTGGAACATCATCCTATGAACCTGAAAGGCACGTGCGGGTGGGGTGGGCTTCACCCACTTCAGGGCACAGGAGGGGGGCAACCGTTTGATGTTTCCCTCACATTGATGCTTCTCTGTCTCTTTCTCCCCACTTTCTCTCTCTCTAAAAGCAACAAAAAAATGTCCTTGGGAGAGGATTAATAAACACACACATTTATTATGAATGGAAATTAACTGTTTCCGGGTGTGTTTGGACAATTGTAAATATTCTTTGAAGCCAGACCAAAACCTGGTAACTTACAGTTTCTTAGCGGTTGGTTGGGATGTTGAATCTAAAACTGTATCAATGAACTTCTGTGTCTGTTACTTTAAAATCCATTGGTCTGGTCCTGGCTGGGTCGCTGAGTTGCTTATAAGTGTCCAGGGAGACGCCATAAGGTTTCAGGTTCAACCCGTGGTCAGGACACATACCAGATTGCGGGCTTGATCTCCAGTCAGGGCGCTCGGGAGGCAACTGACTGAGGTTTCTCTCACATCAATGCTTCCTCTTTCTCCATTCTCCTTTCTTTCTCTCTCTCTCCCCCCTCTCGCCCTCCCTCCCTGCCTCTCTCTCTAAGATCAATAAAAAACATATCCTCCAGTGAGGATAAAAAAATAATCTGCCCTGGCCAGGTGGGTCAGTTGGTTGGAGGGTCGTCTTGTGCATCAAAGGGTTTTGGGTTCGATTCCTGATCAGGACACATACCTGGGTGTGGGTAAGGCAGGCAACTGATTAATGTTTCTCACATCAATATATTAATGTTTCTCTTTCTCTCTCTCTCACCCCCCTCCTCCCTCCATCCCTCTCCCTTCCCCTTTCCAAAATCAATACGTATATATTCCGTGAGGATTAAAACAAAGTTTCAAAAAATCCATTGCTCTACCTTGTACCTTGAATGAACCTTCTACCTGTGTGTGATTTTATAATATCATGTGCTGATCATTTAGAAAATACTCACTGAATTATGCAGACCTTCCAAATAACACTTCATTATAAGATAGCAAAAAAACCACACCTGTAAATGTTACCACCAATCCCTATGTCATGGTAGCAGATACGAGTTTTCCACGATCCTATTCTATGCTGGGAAACGAACATCCTGCCATTGGCAACAGACACTCCCGGTCGTCTCCGACAGGCCGCTCTGTACGGCGGTTTTTGTCTGAGTAGCCAGTTCGTGCAGTCTCTCACCAGTTTCGAGGAAAAATGACAGTTCCTGGGAAAGGCGGCTGGTGCAGCCCGCAGCTCACACACCCGCCCCGCGCCCTTCCCGCAGATGGCAGTGTGCGAGGGAAGTGCTCCACGTGCCCTTCCCACGTCTGCCCACAGCACGGCAAAGACACACGCACCGGGCCAGGAGTTAACCAAACTAATGCTTTCTGCTGTCTCGTCCAAGACATTCTTAAGTAAAAACCCAATTTTCACTTACTTACTTATTTTCACTCTGAGTGCACAGCACACAGACAACAGCCACTGCTAACAGGAAGCCTGCACCACTTCTGCACCATTAGTGCAAAGAGCACAGATAACATCTCGGTATCGCACTAACAGGCAGTTTTAACCCTGGGCCCCCAAAGGGCTATCAGGGGCATCAGGGACCACACTGTTCTATCCCAGGACAGTTTCCTAGAAGCGACGTTACTAGGTCATTGGTACCAAAGCAGTACGTACGTTTTAATTTCTGACAAGTTTGGCCAAAACTCTCCAGAAAGTCTGCACCGCTTTTCACTACTGAATTGGGAAGCACCAGAACCTAACACATTTGCCTATCTAAAACCAATGCTAAAATAGAACTAAATGTTTTAAGGCAAAGAACAATCCAAGTGCCCAGATTATGTAGATGAGGTGACTTTTTCCGCAGGGAAGTCAAACCTCAACTGCCGAATGCAAGTTCACTGCACAGAGACCTTTGTCTGCTGCCGCCACCCAATGCTAAGACGTGTGTGTGTGTGTGTGTGTGACTGAACTCCAAAGTACATGCCACCTGCACACACCTCACCCCTGCTCGTAGGGTGAGTGGGCTCCACCCGCATTTCCGTACAAAACACCGGGTCCAAAGAATGTCCGGCTGTGAGGCTTAGGGCACAGAGGACCCCAATGAATGGGTTCACAGCTGCCCCCGTTACAGACACCTTCTAAGCTGACCCTGAGAGCTTTACATTTTCACACAGAATTACTAGAAGTGTAACACGTACTATCTGAACTCAACTGCTGACTACGTCCATAAAAACGTCAAAGACAACTTTTTGCTGAGAGGAGGCTCCCCCTCCTATAAAAGTAAAACACCTGGAAGCTGGGTGTCCTCAACTCACGATTTTCCCCACGGAGCTCCAAAGCGAGTGCTTTCAAGTCCTACTCATAAATGAAAAGGGCGAGGATATTGGCATCAACTAGGATCTGTAGTTCTGACGCTTTTAGGGAGCACGGACCACTTTGAGGACAGCTAACCGCTCTCAGTAGGTAAAGGAGTAAACGATCGTGCACGTGAGGGAAGAGCCCAGGCCTCCGCCTGGTGCAGGATCATGGACTCTGGATCCTGGGAAAGCACTCAGCCCAGCCCCTCAGGAAACTGGAAAAGTAAACCGCTGGTCCAAGGTCAACCACCAGTCAGTGAGAAGCAGGATCAGGCAACAACGGAGCCACTCAAAAAAACAAAAAAAACGACAACCACGGAACAGAGCCGCACCGGGTCACCGGGAAACTTTTTCTTCTACCAAGAAAACTAAGATGAGGCAGAAACAGCAGTTCTAAGCAGAACTGCAAGGAACCAAGCCCAGCGCTGCTGCCCAGGATCCTCTCGCACCCCCCCCCCCCCCCCGCGCCAGCGCTGCAGGAAGAAGGCGACCAGGAAGCGTGAAAAGCACTCACCGTGTTCCACAAACACGTTGCAGTGCGGCCCCCCATGTCTGGGCGGCTCCTTCTTCCCTGCGCCTTTGATGAAGTGCAGGGCAGGCAAACTCGGCCTTCGCTGGTCCCCCAGAACTTTGCCAGGCTGCTGCCCCATAAAGTAAGGATAGGTATCCCCTTCCAGAAGAGAGTTCAAAGTCTTCCGGGATGGTCAGTGAGCTCAGAGGGACGAGGGCCCACGGACCTGCGGGATTTCACATTGACCGCATGTCCACGCGTCGGTAATCGAGGTCAAGCGCCACCAGACACCCTCCAGCACCAAAGGAAGCAGTTTCGCCCGGCTGGCGCTGTGAGCGCGAGGTGCCACTGTTTTCGCAGCGTATCTGTTGGAAGTAACGTGATCGCAAGGCTACCCAAAGGTTTCTCGACTTTAAGTGTCTCTGACTGGCCGCACACCGACTTCTTTCAAGGAGAAAAGCCTACACAGAAACATTCACGGGAGATGCTGGGGAGGGCTCAGTCGCACTCCAGTGACTTGGCTTCCCACGCGCAAAGGCAAGGGCGGTCGTCTTCGGAGGCTGCGGCGGCACCTTTCCTGTGGAGGTCACACACCCCCTGGCTTCTTCATCTTCGGACAAATTTCCTGCCAAGGCTGCCGCCGCTCCTCCGTCCCGCTCTCCGGAAAAGGACACGGGTCGCCCCGACTTCAGCGGGAGCTCGCCCTCGCCTCCGAAGAGCAGGAATGCATTGCCAGCAACTTTTAAGTCCGCTTTTTAAAAGGCCTGTGAAACGAGTCCAGACTTTTCCTTTGCATTAGAGTTCTTGGTAGGGCTGAGACCAGGGGGGCCGTCGGTGACATTGGGAGGAGTCAGGGCATTGGGGGCTCCCGGGAGCAACCTGGGGGAAGGGGAAGCCACCTGACAGCAGGGAGGGGGTTTGAATGGGGGGCTCCGAGGCCAAATCTGCGGCTGGGAGTCGGACGGAGAAGGGTCGAGGGTGAGAGAGAGACTGCCGGGGCGCGGCACGGGCGGCTCACTCGGGGGCGACGCTGCTCCGCGCCTCCGGAAGCCGGGTGTCCCAGGTCTGGGGGAAACAGAGACCACCCCCAGGGTCCCAGAGCCGGAGCAAGGCTGTAAGGGATGAAAGACTCTCCGGGCTCCGAGGCGGGGAGGCGGCGGAAGGGGGAGGAGGCCCGGCCGCCTCAGCTGCCCTGAGCCTGGGGGTCTCTGCCCGAGACACCCCCTCCTCCGGCCCCAGATGTTGCCGCCGTCGCCAGGCCGTCACATTCCTCGAGCTCCGCCGCGGGGTCCAGCCTCCTCCCGCAGATGTGGGCGGTGGACAACAGGGACGCTCCTCAGTTGCAGGACCTGGGAACCGGCTCCAGCTCTACCACAGCTCAGGAACGAACACAGACCCCCGCGGCCGCCATGATGGATTACGAGCCACTCCACAACGAGGCCAGGCCCCGCCCCCAGCCCCGCCCCCAGCGACGGCCGGCCCGCGCCTCCCGAGCACCTGGACCCTCCTGGCGCCCTTTTCAGGGACGCCACAGCGTCCTCCTGTTCTTGTCTCCCCGCCCGCCAGAGCCCGCCCCTGCACGACCTTTTAAAAGTGATTTTTCCCAGTGCCAAGTGAGCAGTGAGAAAGAATCCCCGCCCCCCCCTGTACCACCATTGGTCCCCAAGAATCCGGGTCAGGTCGCTCTCCTACGTCCTATTGGCCGATGGAGGCAATAAAACTAGCGCTCCCAGCCAGCCGCTTTTGGCGCAGCTCGCAGGGCAGGCCGGGAGTTGTGGTCTCCTAGCGCCCGCCCCTGTCCGCGAGCACCCACGACTTCTTGCCCCCAGCTCCTGCGCTTCGGTCCCACCCTCCTGGGAGCGGGTGGACTCTAGCCCGCTTCTTAGGGCTGGCCAATGTCTTCCGTGCACAGGCTGTGAGACCCGCTAGCAGCCAAAGTAAGGAGAAAACTACGCTTTGGATTTTCCCAGAAACGGAGTTGGATACTTCCTTGAGCCTCTTTAATGAGGAAAAGTCGTCTCGCTCCTGGAAACCGAGGTGTTGGTGTCCTCTCTCCGACTCCAAATTCTCACCTTTCCCCCCAAGAAGCATACATCTTAGGACCAATGAAGAAATAAATGACTAGGAAACATCTGACACATTGCTAGAGAATTCATTGTTTTTTGGGGGGGCATCAGGAGCCTCTTGGAGGATAAACCAGGCGCAATTACCGAGGTTCGAGTGGTACCTTCACAATTAACCTCATTTCACAGATATATATGTATTCAGATGAAAACATTCGCTGTGTAAGCCGAGTATATGTGAAGACTTTTGGCTACCAGATCTACGAGAGCTGGACCATGACCCAGACAAAAACGCGCCTATCAGAACCCATCTTCTGAAAGAAGCACGCTGGGTCCGGTCCGTTCTTCACTCTGCATGTCTCCGCAGTGGTGCACCTACCTAACCAGGATACCCCATTTCTAAGAGGATCCATTCACCACAGCGCCTACTCTACACCTCGCACTGTTATCTGTTACGCTTTTCATAAACTATTTTCTCATTTAACCCTCACTGAAGCCCAGTGAGGCGTGACATATTATTCTTGGTTTCACAGCTGGGAAAACATTCAGAAACATGAGGTCACTTGCCCTAGTGTGTGACAAAATCACGACTTGAGTCCAGATGGATGTTGCTGCAAAGCCATGGTTTTCCACTGTACCATTCTGCATCAATTAACTTTTGGTTGAGTGTTAGGCAACTGATTTTTTTTTAAATGATTTTAGTTTTAGAGAGAGGAGAAGGGAAGGAGAAAGGGAAACATCAATTGGTTGCCAGTGGGGGATCTGGCCCTCCACCCAGGTATGCGCCCCAACCAGAACTGAACCAGCCACCTTTGGCCCTTTTGCTCTGTGGAATGACGCCCAACCCACTGAGCCATGCCAGCCAGGGAAATGACTGATCTTTTAATAAGTTGCTACTAATACTGGGGAGAGACCACAGCCACATTGTAGGTCTTGTATGTTGTTATCCTGAGTTACGTATTTTGGAACCATTTCTGCTGGATTGGGAAATGGTGCTGGTTTCACTTAGGCTTCCAGAAATAGTCACCTGGAGGAAATGAACGTGAAGGTGAAAATGTCTGCAGATTCACAGCTGGGATTTATACTCAGATGGCAGCTCCACTTTGCTCGCTCACAAAACAATCTAGCGGACAAATTTATCCTGGCTTAAAACTTCAGTGCCCTTGCTCCTTATTTACCCACTATATTCTGAACACCATCCTAACTTCTCTTTTCAGAGACTTGCTTTCTTGTTATTTCTACTCGTGTTTTAACCATTTCCTGCTCATCTTCATTCTCTAAAGTCAGGCGATCAAATCAGAAACTTTTAAATACATGTTTCTTGAACTAACACATCATTTGACAAGCATTTATGGAGCTTCTTCAGGTCAAGCACTATTCTAGGTGCTGGGATACAAGGGGGGGTGGGGAGGATGAGTCATCCCCGCCCCCCCACCCCCAGAACACACAGGAGGGAGTGACAGGCAGTAAGTAAAATGAGTAACAATCCAAAGTTGTCTCAATGCAATAAAACTTCTAGACCCACATCCCTTCACAACCAGTCCGACCCATTCTCTGAAGGATTGCTTTGATACCTCTCTAGAGCTTAAAGCTTTCTCCTTCGCAGTTGCTATAGGCCCTATCCAGGGCCTATCCAGTCACTTGAATTCTCTGAATCGCTTTCTCCACTTTTAAGTAAAATTGTTATCTGCCCACTTCACAAGGTCATCATCATAAGGCTCAAATGAGACTGTGTTTGGTTTCCCACAATTAGAGACTGAAATTATGCTTTATGGAAGTCAGTGTAGAGGCTGGCTGCACTCCATCCAGGCTCGATCTCAAAATCCCCCTTTCCTACTCTAACCACTTTCTAATTTCAGGTGAGCCCCAAGCCCAGACTATTAACATTTCTAGAGATGGACTATACTTTTTTACTCCCTGTGTAACACTGTAGAATGATTCTTTTGAGGACTTAAAATAGAATCCAGAGCTGAGCAAATGCCTGTCAGAAATAGATGTTTCCAAATACTGAATAAAGCTTAACATTTACATAGTCTTTTCATTCAAAGTGATTCATGTCAGTCTAATTTTGCCCCCTTTTGTAAAGCAAAGCAATCCAGCAAGATGCTAAAGGGATTGAGTACCGGTGTAATTAATCTATCTTTATTCTATGCGGTTTATTCCATTCTTTCCACCAGCTGGAATACACTTAACAAGGGCGCCCTCTAGTGAGCCGCAGAGAAGAACCACTAAAAGGGGCTTTCAGCCCTTTGTGTTATTTCCACTTAGTAAATACCACCATTTACTGCTGAACGTTGCAATGAACATCAAGAGGCTGGCAGCTTGGGAGAGATCAGATGAGGATAACTTTCCACAAGCTTCTATGTGGCCCAGGTCAAAACCAAACCAATCCAGGGCTCCTGCCCTTTCCCCTTCCCTCTTCCCTTCTCTCAGGAGGCCTGGCGCTTCTTCTAAAAAATATGACAGGTGAGCAAATCTGAAAGTTGCAACACAGCCTAACTCCTCAAAACAACTGATAATTTGGGAGCAAAAAAAAAAAAAAAATGAGATTTTTAGAAAATTGCCTACTGAGCCCTGGCTGATGTGGCTCAGTGGATTGAGTGAGTGCCAGCCTGCGAGCCAAAGGGTTGCTGGTTGGATTCCCAGTCAGGGCATGTGCCTGAGTTGTGCGCCTGGTCCCCACTACAGGGCACTCAAGAGGCAACAGCACATTGATGTTTCTCTCCATTCCTTCTTCCCTTCCCCTCTCTCTCAAAATAAGTAAGTAAAGTCTTTAAAAAAAAAACTGTCTGTTGAGTCATGTTATAAGCAAGAAATACACCATTTAATGAAAAAGAGCCAAGCAGCATTTTGAAATTATCGAATGCCATGTTCAACATCACTACAGCTGAAAATACCCCTCGCTCTAATCTTGCCAGGTGACCCAAGCGCAGCAGAGTCACTGAATTTACACCTGCTAAGCTCTCCTTCCACTGTACACAGCTCCCAAGTGTAACAAACGCAAGAACAGAACAGTGCCTTTAAAAAATGTTTCCCAAAACCTAGATTAGGGCACCGGATTTTAGACGTCACACCACCGCGCAGGAATTCAGCTGTTCCTAAGAACTTTAGCACCTTGGTTTTGTCTTTGAACCCTCAGTCATTCAACAGCTAACACGTTACTACTTCAACTGCAGGGGAGAACCAGCTTTTCCCCACCTCCACTTCCCGTACTTTGATTTCACGTTTGTCCAGGCTCCCCAAAACTTCGTTCTATTACCAATGAGTCAACTTCTTACAAATCACCCTCAAGGGCAGGATGACCGAAGCAGCCCCGTGTGGACGCACTCGAACCAATCACCAGACGGAACGGGCAACGGAAAGTACGATTCCAGCCCAGCAAAGGGCTGCTTGGTTCACTTTATCCTTCTGACCGTTGGGTTCACTTTACCAACTCCAGGCTTTGGTGCTGTACTTGTGCTGCAGAGGAGGTGGGAATGGAAGCCAAACAGACAATCTGGGGTCGGGGAGGCCATGTTTTTATAGGGGCAATTTCACAGGCACTGTGCGACGTGAATGACGGTGAGCAGAAGACAAAAGCCTCTCCGTGTTATTCCAGGATGGGAGTCTAGTTGGCTGGAACACTGCGAACTTCTGAAGACCCCAAACTGCCCCTGGTGCTGGGGATCTGCAGGCGGCCCGAGGGCTGGGGCGCAGTGCACCTCCCAGGCTGTGCTCTCGGACAGAAGAAAGCAGGCCGGCCTGTGGGCTGGAGGCAGCCCGACACAGGTCCGCAGTGAGTTTCCCGTCCCGGGTCTTTGCTGGGCCACACTCAGGGACCGTGAATCAGATCCTTCAGGGACCATGAATCAGATCCTTCGCTTTCTAGAACTGCTCCCTCCGGTCAGGTGCACAGTCCCGTCCCCAGGTGCGCCTCCTCACCCCTCCTGCTCTAAAAGTCTCTGACGTGTTTCCATCACAATTTCCTCCATTATTTCTGGCTTTAGGATGTCTTTAATCTGAAAAAGAAAAGAAAAGGTGTTTGTTCAGAAAAGAAAGCAACCAAAAGCAGACCATCAAGCCAAGCCAAATGCAGAAACCAGGCATGGTGAACATAAACCTTCTGTTCCTTTCATTTAGTGGAGGCCAAGCATTACAAGATGTGATCTGCTAGAACCAGCTTAACGAATCGGCACGGGCCTCCGGGATACAGCTGACAAGAACAAGGGTGTTATTCCGGCACCCACTACACACAGGGAGCTGAAACTGGAATGGGCAAGGTGAAGTCCATGGGGTTGCTGTCACGCACTAGTCCCGCCTGGCACCTTCTTGCCTCCAACAGCTTAGACTGGCGCTAGACCCTGGGGAAAGACCTAGCAGATGCTCGTTAAGGCGGCCCCCGACCGTACAGACGGATGTGGTAAAGGCATTTCTTTGGAGGGTGTGCGTGCCATCCCTGAGAAATCCCTGGAGCAAACTGATCAACATGTGGCTCCTGCTCAGAGAGCAGAGAGCAGGAAAGCCCAGAGTGGAGTACCTGGTGTGGAAGGGATGCCTCATAGCAATACAGGATGCTCGTATCATACAGCATCATTCTCTGAGTCACCAGTGAGACGACACAGTTCCGGAGCCGGGAGATCACCTCTCGATCAGCAAGGGAGACAGGCTACCAGGGGATGCAAAGGGAGCAAATAGAAAGGACCAAAATAAGTGAACGGTCACAGCAAATCACAGAAATCATTTACAGCTTAGTGTCCCTCTGGGAGGCCAGGCCAAAGGGCTAACCCCAAGGAGGGCTGAAAAGGGCAGTTTCTTCAGATACTACCCTGCGACTCTGTCATCAGTCACTGACTTCATCTGCTCAGAAAATGAGGGCAGTACAATGTCCCCAAAACACCTGAAACTAGCAGACTACAGCAGTGTAGCCAAATACCAGCAGGCCCCGCCCACTGCAGAGGCGGCATGGGGCAGGGAGACAACAGCTGCGATGGCGCTCACGCACCTCCAGGTTTGCTACGAAGCCCCCCGCATCCTCTTCTTTGTGCTCAGGTGTCGGGTAGATCCAGATGAAGCCGTTGTTACCCAAAATCACTGAGGCACCACAAGGCAAGTCGTGGAAGTGAGTCTTCTGCCGTTTCACCAGGGAGGGGGAGACCTGGACCAAAACACCCTGACCGAGCTAAAGAAAGACATCATAAATTAAGTCACTGAAAGATCATCCGTCAGGGGAAGGAAGAGTTATGGTGGAATTGGGGCCCTTCCTGCCGTGACATCTGCACATGCCGTCATTGCTCAGAAAACACTTTTGGACGCACAGGTTGACCTGACACAACAGATGGTAGCTTTCCATCCCCTCCCCGACCACTTTCCTTCGCAGTCGCCATCCCCACGTGCTAATCCGGGGCTGGCGCACGGGCTGCCGCACGGGCTGCCAGAGGAGCGGCAGCCCGAGGACCAGGGCTTCAGCCTCCTGTTCCGCCCCACCCCCAACCCACCGCCTGACTCGCCCATGAGACTGGCAGCCCTGGGCCGGGAACTGGCCCAGGGCGCAAACCCATTCCTGGCTCTTGTGGGGCCGCTCCAATTCCACGTCTAGCCGCAGGTGGGTCTGCAGCAGCCAGGCCCGAAAGGCTAGCACAAAGGTTTCCCCTCCGACTTCGAGGATGTGAAGTGCCTGGCTGCAGCCCCTGCATTAAGGGGAGAGGTTTTGTTCTGCTCCAAAAATAAGAAGGTTCATTCAGATAAAGCCAAGACACTAATAAATCATCATTTTTCTTGGGAAATAAGCTGTCACTTTAAAAAGTCTCCATGTAACCTCATACAAGAAATGCAGTGAATTTCATTTTGAGACTTAAGTGATAAACCAATCTCTCACTGCAGTAACATTCTTTTTAACACTTGGACATTTGTCTAAGAGTCACTGTCCTGCTCCGTCAGTCCACACCTTCCCTTTGTTCCAAGGACTGCCTCCCTGCCCTGGCCCCAGTGCAAAGCAGGAGCGCCCACCAGGAGGGAGCAGCTGGCAGGGCCCAGGGTCCACGGTCAGATGGGCTCCTGCCAGGACACTCTGGCTCAGGAGGAAAAGGACGAAAGTTGTCACCCATTACAGTGCTACCAGCCCAAGACCGAGTGAATCAAGCAGTTAGTGAATCATGCTGACTGGGATGCCAGCCTGAAACCCTCAACTTCCAGGGTTCTCTGGGTCTGAACCCAAGAGAGCTCTGGGGGTTCAGAAGCAGATTTGAAGTCCAGGTCAGCCAACAGGGGCAGCAGGAGCCCAACTTACTTTTCCGTATTTGAGGCTCCTCGTGTGCAGAGAGACGGCGCCGTCCGAGAACACTGCCTGGACCTCGGCCTGGCCATGGCAGTGAAGGAACACACACCGTCACGTCACCTGCCTCCCATGTCCCAGGCCCCACTCTCCCTCCTTTATTCCCACCCCTGACAGTGCCACTGGGCAGTCTTGAACCTGGAGGACACCTCTCCCCCTTTGCTGGCATGAGCATCTTGATACAAACGATGCCTTTTCTACTCCCTGGGAAAAGTTAACATCATTAAGGAAACTCGAGTCTAGCTCAAAGCATGGGCCACCGTAAGTTACAAGACCCAAAGAAACGACGTAGCACGTAGCAGCCACAGCTGTGAGCAAGAGCTGGCCACTCGGCCTGGATTAGGGAGCTGGAGGGGTTACAACAGGGCCCTCGGCACTCCATCTGGGACTCGGCTCCTCCTGATGGAGGCCGATGGTGTGAGCCCCATCCCCTGGCTCCACGCAAAGATGCTGGAGCGCACGGTGCAGGATACACTGATCAGGTCCCCCTCCTGCAAGAAACCCCGCATGGCCAGCTCGTCCTCTGCAGATCTTCTCCTCTGAAACACAGGAAGGCTGCCTCAGTCCACCCCACAGAAACACCTCCGCTCCCCCCGTTCCCCGCGCTCTCCGAAGGCGGCCACAACACCCAGCGGTAACTTGTGCCCCGCAAAGAAACAAGAGCAACAGCCACTTACGACCTTCCCACAGCTGTTCTCCCTCTCTCTGCTCTAAATACTGTCCGTGCTCTGGACATGATACTGAAAACCCTCCAATCCAGCCTGGCCTGCTTTCCCCCGGCGTCCTCTGGCTGCCTGCCTGTTCCAGCAGGGCTGGGCCACCTCCAGCTTGACCGAGACTTTGCTCACATATTCCCCTTTCTCTTGGATATCCTGAGTTCATCACTGAAACGCTATCCTCCCTTCAAGGACCAGCTCTAACGCCCATCTTCCCCATGAGCTTCTCTCAGAAATTAATCACTCTGTTTGTACAACCCACCTGTCATGTGTTTGGATATTATCTCACACCCCTTGGCTTTCAAGCTTGCAAGCTTTCAGGAACTAGTAGGCCCCCATTGCCTTGCGCTCTCCACAGATCCCAGCCCAGGGAGACCATGGCATTTTACAAAAAGCTGCAGCTAACATGCAGCAGTTGCCTGGAATACCCAAATGCCACGCAGTTCATGGACACTAATGGAAACACGAAACATATTTTTCAAGGGAACTCCTGTACCCAGAGACAAAAAATCACTAGCTCCAAGAATCTGAGAGCTTCTCTCCCTGCTTCCTCTCGGGATTCCTCCCCAAGGACATTCCAGATCTTACCACACACCAACAGTGTCAGGAGGGCTGGGCCCAGTTGAAGAAGAGCCTATGTTTGCCCCTGGGCAGGACCCTTCGGAGCAGACAAACAGGAGTAGAGGAGGCAACCCTGGTGCGGGGCTGAGTTCTCCAGCGTAGCTAGAGACCCCAGAGCTCTCAGAAGCAAACCACACAGTCCCAGCTGGGGCCCCTCACCAACTCTCCTCCCGGAAGGTTCATGGACGACAGAAGCAGGACTGAATCCAGCCTGGAGTTGGTCTCCACTTTCCACCTCTTCTGCTGAACCTAGAAATCGACATTCCACAACTGGACACATATTCCAGGAGCAAGACCTCACATCGTAAGTGACCAACAATCCCCAATACAACAAGCCAGCTGTTTACGTGAAAGGTCACGAACAAGCACTAAATGCAATGAATGTACGCTTCATGTAACTACGTACAGGTGACTGTCCCACGCACTAAAGCCCCAGCCTGCTTTTCCCGGGGTTCACTTTACCTCTGTGATCCTCCCCACCACGATGTCTCCTACTTCACCATTGTACCTGGAAGACGAAACAAAAGGCAACCCAGCAGTGAAAAGACTGTTACAAAACCAAGCACCACTTGAGACTTCAGTTACACAGGACGAGGCCCCGATTAGGCACCACATTCGGTGCATTCAGAGCCATGCTGTTCGGACTTATTCTCAGGAACCAATCACTTCAAACATCAACACGTATAACGTCTCTGTTAACTCTTCTCAAACAAGCCATCTGCTGCAAGCAGTCCATTAGGCCCCGATCTCTACTCTGTAAATTGCATGACAAGTGCAGAGTGTTTTCTGGTGGGCACTGTGACGCACAGGGGCTCTGCATCGGTCACTGGAGGGGAGAAGAGGCTGAGCCAGACACACCCACCGGCTTGCTGCTCCTCTCAGGCGCTTCTGCCAGCTCTTCCTTCCCATTCTAACGGCGGGTGTTCCCTGCTGAGGGCTCCGTCCTCGACCGCTTCTCCTTCCGACCCACACTCAGCCCTCTGTGAGCTCATCCAACCTACAGGTTTTAATACCACCGACGACTGTACCATCCCCTGAATTCCAGACTCCAGTCAGCTGCTGGCTACCCAACATCTTCATTTATACGACTCACAGGTACTTCCAAATCTAAAAAACCTAAAACGAAGCTTTCCAGAGGCCCTGCTCCTCCATCACAAAGTGGTCCCCTCCCAGTCCTCCCCCTCTCAGTAAGTGGCATCTCCACCCCTCCAGCTGCTCAAGCCAAATACCAGAGTCTTGGAGGAGCACTTGAGAGACATCCGCCCCCCCACCCCTCATGCTCCAGAACACGTCCAGTAGCAGATCCTGGTTCCACCTTGAAAACGTACACAGGAGACTAGAGCCCACCCCCACTCACAGACACGGTCCTACACAGAGAAAATACCGAAAACGCAAAATTCCACACCCTGTCATGATGAACACACTCAGAACACAAAAGATACAGAGTTAACCACTCCACTTCGGCTGCTACCACCTTAGTCCAAGCCACTATCACTTCGGATAAAAGTCCCCTGACCCATCTCAGTGAGCCTGCCCCTGTTCCCCGTCAATCTCCCCGCAGCAGCCTGAGTGATTTTATTAAAACAGAAGTCAGATCGTGTCCCTCTTGTGCTCACCTCCTCCAGTGGCTTCCTCAATCACACACACAAGTGGAAATGCTTATCGCGGCTACAAGGCAGGCTGACCGCAGCTCTCGGCCTGCACCTGCTCACTCTGTTCCGAACCCACTAGGGTCCTTTCTGGAGCTAACCTCCATTGAGTCCTGTGCTAAGTACTTTACATGCACCTTTCGGTAAGTCCTACTAACAACGGTACGTGACAGCCTGTGGTGTCACCTCCTTTTACAGAGGAGGTGACAAAGGTTTGGGAAGGTCAGGTAATTTGGGCAAACCTCTGAAGCCCACACCCCCCCACCCACAGTCACCTACACACGTTCCATGTCGCAGACCTGCAGGATGACAGGCGTGGGAGGCACGACGTGGCAGGCAAGACCCGGTTGTGCCACGTGGATGCCACCAGGAAGTGAATACACACCTTTCGTCCTCACCTGGTTTTCAAAGCTTTCACGCAAATCAACTTGTTGACTCTCTCCACAGAACCCGCCACAGACGCAATGAGCTTCTCCTCCCCCATGTAAGTTCCGTGGCCCCTGTTGTGAGAGGGAGACACAAAGGAAACCAAGGTAACACCTGCGATGACCTCTCCGTTCATGTACCATGTACTCCTCAGCCAGGCCCCTCCTGCCTTCGGCCTGGCTCCTGTGCTGGGCGCTCTCTCTGCCTGAACATTCCTGCCCTGCAGCCACCTGGCCATCTCCCTCACACCTTGCTGGGGTCTACACAATGTCATTTCTCAGGCCCACCTAGACTGTCCCATTTCAAACAACTGCCCCACCCCCATCAAACTAACCACATTCCACTTACCCTGCTGGACTTTTCATTGTTCCACTGCATTATCACCAAACACTCTGAATAACTTACTTGTTGTGCTTATTATTTAAATGTCTCTCCCCATTAGAACAGAAACTCCACCAGGACAGAGATTTCCACCGTTCACTGTGGTACTCCAACCACGCACAATCCAGGGTCTGGCAGAAGTAACGCCTGCTTGTGTGTGGTTGGTAGGATAATAATATGGGTATAATCATTTAGGTTTTTAAAAATATTTTTTAATTTACAGGGGAAGGGAAAGAGAGAGGGAGAGAAGTATCAATGTATGGTTGCCTCTCATGCATCCCCTCCTGGGAAATGGCCTGCAACCCAGGCTTGTGCCCTGACTGGGAATCAAACTGCGATCCTCTGGTTCGCAGGCCTGCACTCAATCCACTGGGCTACACCAGCCAGGGCTGTAATCATTTAATTTTAATCTGAACGTTTTACCAAATATGCCATATGGTGTGCTTGAGTGTGATAATGTTATGTTACAGAATTACATGCTTATAATTTTGTAATAAAGCCGGGGGCGTTATTTGTGCCCTGTATAAATAGATGTTGAATGGGTAAATAAAGGATTGAATCTTAAGATTTTTCTAGGACCTAGCAACTTCAAATTAAAAGGTAAAAGAGCAATCTGTACCTGTGTACTTCCCCCCTGCAATTAGTAGTCTTTCTATGATGGTGGTATAATGGTGGGTTTTGCTTCTTTTCCTAATTATCCCATTTAATCCTCACTACCCTATCAAACAGTTACTGTTATTATCACTATTTCCCAGATGAGGAAACTAACCTTGAAGAGGCAGTACAATTCGCGTGATGGCAGGACTGGAACCCTTCTTAGCTACAACATACAGTACTGCGCTCAGATTCGAAAGTGTATATTTGGGTGCACGCAGCACAACGCATCTGTCTGCCCTAAGCCCAAACAATTACTGATTCCGAAGTCGTGCAACTGACTAGGAGATGACGCTGAGGGTGACACGGAGGAGGCAAAGTCAAGAACGCCCACTGTCCCCACAAAGAGGACCCTGCTCCTAACCCTCCCTCGTCTTCCAGGTCTCCAAGGAGGAAGGCTCAGGGAATTGGGCCCCAGGCATGGGAACCAAGAATCAGGGCCAAGGGGCGGGGGGGGGGGGGGAGCAGGGTTTCAAGGGGCTGAGAGAAATGCATACCGGGACATACGATGCAGGAAGTAGAAGCTCGAGGACTCCTAAATCACAGAGACACATAAACACGTGCTCTGGATCCCGCGGGGGCTTTAACACAGGAGGACAGAGGCCCAGGTTTTAAAGAGCAAGCCACGTGCAGAGCCCTGCAACCGCCCCTTGGGGCCCCCAGTCCCCAGGCCCCCACGCACCGCATGAAGCCCGTGTCCGTGGTAATTGTGTCGCCCGGCACCACCAGGTGTTTCTTGGTCTCGCGGCCCAGGCTCTCGCTAAGAGGTTTACGAGCTACGGGAAGCCTCATCTCCATCGCCATCTTGGCGCCAATGACTTGCGCAGGCGCAGCCCCGCTAAGAGCCGCGAGTTCAGGCTCGGCAATTCCTGGCCCTCCCTCTAAGGCCCGGGGCGGGGCCTCAGAGCAGCAGCCAATGGGATTTCGTGGTCTGGCGGCCATGCTCACTATTGGCAACAGGTTAACCTCACGGGAAGGAGGGAGCAGAGTTGCCATTTTTACTACTGGGATGTCTGCACCTGTGGAATAAAATCTCATGTTGCATGACGTTAAACTTTTTATCCAAACTGCCTCGTACTCATCATCCCACTTATTGTTTACCAGGATTAGAGGGAATTGAGAAGTGGACCTCTGAGTTTCCTTCCAGCTCATTTTAAGCGGCTAAACTGATGTTTTTGTAGAATGAGCTCAGCAGGGTCCGGAGGTATGAGCTGCAGAAAACACGATTTGGACCCACGGAAGAGCCCCCCTTTCTTGCTGTTCCTAGTACCGTCAGTTTTCTGCATTACAGGCGCCCCGCGGGTGCTGGTTCAGCACCAACCATTTGCACCCCCCAATGGTGCTCCAATGCTGCTTTGGTTCTTTCATAATAGTCTTTTGAGTAAGCTGATTTGCTCTAACATTTCTTTTGTAAAAACAAGAAACTGTCTAAGAAAACCTTCAAACGTCGCACGGAGATATATTTGGTAGGGAAGGTAAGTGCACACCAAACACGAAGACCTTCGCTTGTATTTTGCTCATACACCAATTGACCGCTCTCCGTGGGCCAGGAGCCATCGCAAGGATTCAGTCATGTGTGTGGCTGTATCTTCATGTCCTGTTTAACAGGAGCGTTTCCCTTGTCCCTTCTCCCTATCCCCACCACTCTTTCCCTCGGCCTGAATGGTTTTATAGCGTTTGCAACAAACCCCAGGGAATTGAAGATGATAATTCTTCATGCACATGGACCTTAAATGAAGTAAGTTGCCTCATCGCCACATACTGTGTTCACAAAATCAGGCCTGCTGCCTCCTGAAGACCCATCATACTAATTGTTTGATAAATCTCCCAAAAGACAGCCAGCCTTTCACCCAAGCAAAGCTCGTGACTACAAGAAAGTGTGAGGGGTCCATCTGTTGAGCCCAGCCTTGGCCATGAGAGGGCAGTAGTGTCTTTGGAGCCAGCTACAGAGCTGGGCCCGGGAGTTTTTGTGGGAAAGAGAGGTACACAGTGTTTACATTATCCAATTTCATCTGGGGAGGGATGGGCAAATCCTTAACCCTTCCCATTCCCACAGCACCTACATTTATAGAGCCCGTTAGAATGGGGTTATGGCTACTGTTTAGTCTGTTCGGGCTGCTATAACAAAACACCATAGACTGAGTGTCTTATAAACAACAAAAATGTATTTTTCATGGTTTTGGAGGCTGGGAAGTCCAAGATCAAGGCACCAGCAGATTTAGTGTCTGGTGAGGGTTCACATCCTTGTTCATAGATGGCTGTATTTTCACTATGTCCTCACTCGGCTTGAGGGGTGAGGGAGAGCCCTGGGGTCTCTTTCATGAGGACACTAAATTCATGAGGGCTCCACCCTCACCACCTAATCAACTCCCAAGGGCCCCACCTCTTAATATTATCCCTTTGGGGGTTAGGATTTTAACATATGAATTAGGAGGGGAGGGAGACACAAACATTCAATCCATTACATCAGCCTATTGCAGATACCTTTTTTAAAAAATACTGATTGCTTTGAGAGAGAGAGCAACACCAATGGGAGAAACATCAACGGCTGCCTTCTCATATGCACCTTGACTGGGGATCAAACTGTCAACCTTTTGGTCTACGGGATGACCCTCCAATCAACTGAGCCACACCAGCGGGGACAGTAAACACCTTTTTATAGCAGTGGAAATCAGGGCCCCAACAGGATTGGAATTCCCACAGCAGCTGGTGGCCAGGTTCCTGCCACCTGCACACGCTTCACCCCAGAGCTGCGCCCTTACCAACACTTCTGGAGGGCCTGGTCCTTTGCTGAGTGCTGTACAAACGTCATGTTACATAGTCCCCACATTTAGTCCATCTTGAAGGTGGGCATTGCTGTCCCTGGTAGTTGGTCATTTTGGGTCACTGAGTCCCAACAACAGACCTGTGGCTGGGATTAGAACCCAAGACTCCAGACTCCCCGTCAGTGTGGTCTTTTCTTCACACTGCACATCCCAGGGGGGCTGGTTAGAATCAGAGATTCCTAAGCTCAGCTTAGGTGCTGGGGTCTACTTCCCCATCTGTGCATCTCCCAGGCCACCGCCCCAAGCCGGTCAACGTCATCTTTCACCTGGATGTCACTTCCTAGCTCATCCCCCTAATTCTGTATTTGCTCCACCTACCATCCAATCTCCATACAGCAGCCAGAGGGAGCTTTTAGAAACAGACCAATTTAAACCACTTCCAGGCTTCTGGTGGCTTCCCTTTATAATAAGAATAAGATCCAAACTCATCATTTTGGCCCCTGTCTGGATCTGACCTCAGTTACCGCCCAACTGCTCCCCTACTTGCTGTACTGCAGCCCGGAGCGTGGCTCGCCTCTCAGTCCCCCACACACCAGTCTCGTCTCCACCCTGGGCCTGTGCATTTCTGGCCTTCTCTGCATGGAATTCTCTTCCTCCAGGTCCTTGTGTACCCGCTTCTCCTCACTCAGATCTCAGCTCAAAAGTTACTTCCTCTGCCCCGGCTGATGTGACTTGGGTTGAATATCGGCCTGCAAACCAAAAGGTGGCTGGTTCAATTCCAATCCGGGCATTTGCCTGGATTGTGGGCCAGGTCCCGAGTTGGGGGTGTGCGAGAGGCAACCAACTGATGTTTTACTCCTTCTTTGTCTCCCTCCCCTCTCTCTGGAAAAAAATCACTTCCTCCAAGAAGCCTTCCCTGACCACCTTCTCTGGAATAGCTCTCAGTGTCACAGTCCAAGCCCCTGTCCAGCTGCCCCCATCACCCCAGGGCCAGGTACTAGAGGGCTAGTCAATCCTGAACCTGCTCACGCTGCCTCACCCATTCTTCCCATGAAAACTGTGGTAAAAGCTCCCCCCCATTTCCCCTTGCTCCCTCTGCCTCCCCGTGTGGTTCTGCACGGTGTGCCGTGGCACTAGACTACTCTTCACACCCACCATCCCCGCCTGCCCACCCTTCTGTCTCCAGCAGGGAAGGACTTTCAGCAGCCTCATCAGATGCACTTCAGTCCGCTGCCACCAGGTGGGTTCTAGGGACTGGGTTGTGGCTCCTGATGATCTGTAGCTGGGACGTCATAAAATTACGTATGGAAATCTATTTAGATTTTTATCACAGGCTCCTGACTACAGGCTGTTGTTCAGATTTACTGTCTGGGAACCAGGGCATCCAGGCCAGAAGGGTGTTTAATCCTACATCACCCATATGCGCGCAGAGGGGATGGGTTTCGGGACAGATAGCTGTGGTTAGAGGCCCAGGTGGGGGCTGCAGTGAGAGGAGGGTGATGCCAGGGGCCACCAGAGGCAGCAGAAACCCAGTGGGAGGTATCGGAGGAAAGGCGAGGCTTGCGACGGGAGGAGGGGGAGGGGCGTACCGAGGGTGACATCCCACACTGGCCCTCCCCCAGGAAGGAGATCCCAGACGGGATATGCAAATGAACACATCAAATGTCCATCTCTGCCCACGCCCCCACCTGCCAGGGTGCAATCCCCCAGAGCATAGGGATCTTTGGGAATATGCACCTGAAGCTCCAAACGGGGATGGCTGGCACGTGCCAGTGCGCATTCTGGTGTCTACATGTGTGTGCACACATGCACATGGCTAGATGAAGATGCACAGAGAGGTGTGCCTGAGGTGGCTAGTAGCCTGGATGGGTGACACCCTCACCGCTGGCATGTTCTGGAGCACAATTGTGAACTCGCACTCTCCAATGTCACGCCGCCTCCTGGAGGGAGGAGCCAGGGCCCGAGCCTGCAGGGATGGCCCCTCTGCTCTCTGGTCCTCCTCAAGGGGTGTCTGGAATGGGTGCCCAAAGCACTTGGGAATTCTAGGCATTGGGAAGGCACTTGGTGGCCATCTCTGCCTACCTCCCCTGGCTGCTTGAATTTCTTCAAGTTGTCCATGAAAATGGAGGGGGGGGGGAGTAAACATTTTGGGGAAGTGAAAAAGTAGGGCACTGATCCTTGAGAGTCGGCTGGAAAGCGGGAGCCAGCCCATCCCCTTCAAGATTCTGGTTGCTGGCCATCTCTCTGGGAGCGGACACCCCAGTTGTGACAGGAAGAGTTTTCTGTATAAATGGCACAACAGGTAAATGGGACAATTCCTGCCACGCCCTCTCTGGCTTCCAGGCACTTTCCATATTCCCTTTTCACAGAAGAGTAGACAGAAGAGTCAGCCCATTCAGATGCCAAGTGATAAATGCTCAAGTGATTTTTATTTTAGAATACAAGAGAGGTACAAATGTATTTACAGTTATACAATCAAGTAATATATATCACAGTTTTGTAAATATCATTTTAGATAAATATTTACAAAGTTAAAGTGACCATTTTCTGGAATTAGAACACAGCTTCTTGAAAACTCTATACATTTTATACTTTTCATTAATATTATTATAGTTTCTTTATCTTACAAAACCTCCTACGGAAATACTGGTAAATGACTGCAAGGTGGGAGAGATGACACCAGAGGGCGCCAGGGCCCATTTTGGGGCAGATGGGAAAGAGCAAAGGAGGGTGTGGGTGGGCTGGGCTTGGCAGAGCTTTCCCCGAAGACAGTCCAGTCCCGCCCTCCCCTCGCTGGAATATGGCGAGGACTGGCCGGGAAACTTCCCCTTCCCAACCATGGTGTCAGAGCTGAAGGGGAGGGGCCCTCAGTCCAAGGCTCCACCGCTGGTGGAGCTCATTTTATAGACCGGAAAAGGGGAAACTGAGGCCCAAAGAGGGGCAGGCCCTTGCCCGGGGTCCCACAATTCATTTCTGTTTTGCCTGCACTCTCAACACTGCAAAGACCGT